AAAAATCAATAAATGAATCATTTTGTCGTCAATTTTAAATGTTTCCATAATTTAATAAACAATATTATTTAATTTTTATTTTTATTAATATACGGGATTACCCCCTGTGGCTAAATACGATCCTGGCATCTGTCAGATTCTCATCGAGCAATAAGACAAAAGAGGGAATGTAAAGGTAGTGGGGGTAAACATATTGATAGACAGGAAGTGCCATCTTGAGAGGCCACTTTAGACAAGGATAGACAGTCTCTTTCCTTGTTTAAGAAGTCAAATTTAGTTAGGTTATGTTATTGTTTGTCCCAACTGTCACATGAAATTTTATTTATATTGAAATCTTTTACCAATTGTGTCACTTTTTAGACTATTATAGTTAATATTTAATTAAAACTTTCTCGTCTGAAAAATATTTTATAGCTATTGTTAATAAGTGTTGGAAAATTTAAATTTAGCGCCTTTGCATTTCCGGATATGTCCGCCATCAGAGGCCACTTTTTTGGTCTCCTTTTCATAACGATTAGATTCCCTCTTTTATCTTTTTGCTCGATGCAGATTCTTCAATAATTATATGAAATAATTCTCGACACACCTAATTCATTCTATGACGTCATAATTAATGACGCGCTGAAAAGTATCTCTGGGATGTACTTTACCTGTGTAGCTCCTAATAGTCGTTCTATCATGCATCCGCTGAGAAGCACTATTTGAAGCAAGTTATTTGACTCCAAGATTATTGCATAAAAAATCATTTATATTTATCGCTCGCATTCTACATTCCTGATTTTCGATATCGATGAAATCATAGGCTTAGGTGGTGATTTTAAATATTTTTATTTTGGGTACAGTTTTAAATAAAACACACATATAAGTATCATGATAAATAAGTTTAATCAATATAATTGTTAATAATATAAGATAATTTAAATATAAGATATCTATAACAAATCTTCCAACCTAATATGTATTGTGTATAAGTTAACATGTAAAACCATGTGTTAAAATGTCTAAAATACAAGCAGAATAGGGGTAATGTAATAAGGGGTTTGTGCTATTAGAGTTTTACCAACAACTATTAAACAAATAACTTGTAGTATTTAATATGTATCTATTTTAACCACTACGCTGAAAGAGTCCAGAATAGAGTACGCAGAATATTAGGACATCGATCAGCCCGACAGATCAAAAATTAATGACAGACGAACAAAAAATAAACGAAGGAAGACAACATTTAAGTAATGGGAATATGAAAGATATTACCTAACTATAGGGATAGGATATAATTACAAAAATTAGAAACAATGGTAGTAAAAGGGAAGCCACCTTCGACAATAACAATCAACTGACATTTGATCGAAGAAATCAACTGAAGCGAAAGTTATCCAAAACTAAGACTTTTCCATGAAAAGGGACCGCAGAAGTGTAAAACATAATTTAATACTTTTTGAAGCTATTTTCTTGTAATATCTTAAGGTAGGTAATTTAATATTTTTGTTGGAAATAAGTCAAGTTTATTTTTAAAGTTTCGATTTCGACTTCGGAAATCGTCCTCAAAATACAAAACATTAATAAATTAAACAATTTTGTTTTTTGTTAGTTGGTGAAAAAATTTTCTAATAATTTAATTCTATCTGATTCAGTTATATTGATAATTCACACATATATTATACATTTTTAAGTAGATGACTTTAAAATAATCTTGCCAATATTGCTGAGTTGCGTTGCTGTGACGGCATTATTGTAAGATAGTTTATTCGATTACATGAACTCAGTTTTAACTTAAGAATACCTGTTAGAAAAAAACCATAGCATGTGATTCATCCTTAAAAAGACAACCACATGCAATGATAAATTCTTCCTTTAGTGATCCCATAGTAAATTATAAGGAAAAAACCTCGTACTACCACGTCATAAAAAAGTATTTGGCCTTACATTTAGTTTACTCTCAATAAACAGCAAAATCTGATTTTATAATATGTATGTTATTTAACTATATAAATGATGTATCCTCGTTCTCGATATGTTTTTGACTTACTAATATATTTAATAGTGGTATTTTTTTATTAATTTCCTCTTTTAATATGGGTAACCAGATCCTAGTGAATTCTACCGAGGAATTTGCGACGCAATTCGTTTCATTTAATATAATTACAGCCGCTTCTTTGATATTTCTCTTTTTATCATCTGATTCTTTCAGGACTGACTATACTTGAATCTTTCCGTTGAACCCTATGTTCATTTTTCCATGCGTGTTTACATATTTGAGATCTATCAAATTCTCTATTTTTAATATAAGATTGATGTTCACTTATTCTAATATTTAATGATCTTGATGGTTTACCTAAACAACAGCAGTACCTATTAAAAAAAAAAAAACAAAATTTCTTTAATTTATTATGTGTTTAATTTCTTTAGAACGATTTCCGAAGTGGAAATCGAAACTTTAGAAATAAACTTATTTTAAACTTAAATTGTGGCTTATCTCAACAAAAATATTAAACCTAATGTAATATACATCAGATTAAACAGATAGGAAGAAAGTTTAATTAATAAAGTATTGGAAAATATAAATTTTTCACTGTATTGGTTTCTTTGGATATATAATAGTGTCATGCTGTAATCTTTCCATTTATCGCCGCAGCTTAATCGTTGGGATATAAGTCTAGACCTGTTGTATTTATTTTATCTCTTTGTGTGACGAAGGGGTAAGAATCGTAAAAATATTGCTGCAAAGGATTGTAACAAGTTTGAAAAATTGCTAATTGCTCTATATTATTAAACTATGAATGTCTTTTACAACATAACACAAATGCAGGCATGCCGTTTGAAATGATAGACACTTTAGTCAAACAGATGCTTGACTATTATTCTGTGAATTAGTAAAAAACTATGCCAACACGTCGACTAGTAACCGTGCAATTCGAGCAATTGCACGAGAAAACTCAAGTTTTACAGTCCATAAGTTCTTGATAAAAAAAAACAGGACATGCACAGCTTCATAAATAAACAAAAAATATTAGAAAAGTAGATCAGAATGCCAGTAGAAGCTTGCATGATGGTAAATTTATGGACTAGGAAAGTGCTACCTATACAGAGGGCAGCGTAATAGATAAATATACCTTTTTACAAATCATTGGTACAATGAGACTTATATCGTTCTAACATAGACATATAATATAAATATACTGAGAGTTGCAACACAGCGTCGTACCCCCAGTGCGACAGAGAAAACTGATGCAAGATGGTCTGGATTTTTTTGACCACGTGACCTAAATAAGCAATGGGAAGGTCACGTGGTCGGTAAACCCAGCCCATTAGAAAAATATGCAGGGACTGTAATGTATTGCAGCGATTAGTCTATTTGTATTATATGTCTATAGGTTCTAAACAGGCTATTGGTGATACATGAGGTTATGTATTGGAAAGAATATGTTTTGGTGGTCGCGTTGACTTGGTAGATGTAGAGACAGATTTAAATAGTTGATAAATGTGCTTTTTGGTGTAATAAATTAAATATTTATTTTTATAAAAGATAATTATTGTCTTCACTGTGCGACAATTGTAAACGGGGGATAAAATATCATGAAATAACGAGAATGCTCATCCTACATGCATTGTAAAACATTACAAAATCTGGTTAAGGAGTTTTAGTGGAGCTGTTATTTGGAAGTAGTTAAATGAGATCCAGTATCCACAACAAACATTAAACCATTTGGCAGGTAATTTGGACAGTTATCCATACCTCAGAACTTAATATCAATTACTTAATGCCTTCCAAATAGAGTAAGAGTACAACTAGAGCCAGAAGAGGTCCTGCTCTTTATAATAATTTGAATAGAGTCTGCAATACTGAATTCGGTGGTATTTCTTACTTTCTAGTTTCCGTAAAATTGATTTAATTATTCGTTTGGTAAAAAACTGAATGCCAATTCGGTGAGTTTTTCCAATGTGAACAGGATTTTCTTTTATGTTGACTACTGGCACATACAATTTAAAGGTTAATACTGAATGCCAATCTGTTGAGGAGTGTATATCTATGTATATCTAAAGGGAATATTAAAAACATCGTAAATATATAGAATATTAAAACAATGGCTTTAAAAGAATAAGAAAGGATTCGAATTTTTAATTTATTTTGTTTTTTATTATAAATTAAAGAATTTTGAATATATTATATTATCAAAAATAAAGATGATTACCGACACCACCAATATATAATCTACGAAAAGATCGTAGACAGATGTAATGAGGAAAGAAGAAAGATTGTTGTCGCGGCAACAAAATTTAAAAATTTTTAATTCAAAGTTATACAATAATAACGAAATGTATTTAAAATTAAAGGCAACAAGAAAAGTAGTAACCGAATGTTTGGTGATGTTTTAAAAAGCGACAGACGAGTCCACAGATATTAGGACGTAACACGAAAGATTAAACATAAAAAGAGCTGTAGGTTAGAGCTAAGTTATCAAAATTTTAACTCAAACTCTAAGTTTAATAGATGGCGTATTGGAGAATGAATGGAGATAGATAGTATACATATACATATATATATATATATATATATATATATATATATATATATATATATATATAATTTAATACGTTTAAAATTAGAAAGAAACGCATAGAACAAATTAGATAAAAAATTAGACAATGTTAGTAGACTATTACAGACAAATAATCAAGGACATGTGATATAGAGATCTAAAGACCATTATAAGAAGGATATATAAAAGAAAGATGAACGTTTTAGGTTTTTATTAAAGAAAGATAAAACTTTTAAGTTTAATCTAGATAGAAAATGGTTTTAGAAAAAACATTTATGTATTTTTTAAATAACTTTATAATATATTTACTCCAAATGCATGCCACGAAACATCGACAACCACATTTTAAATAAACAATTAGACCTAAAGTAAAAAATAGATACAACGATTGTGTCGGTAAAGTAGGCCGTTACTTTACCCCCATCCTTCTTTTTTAATATAAAATATACCTATTCAGTCTTATTGTGTTTCATCTAAGTCGGAAGGAGGGTCTAGTGATGTATGCACGGTAATGCTGACACCTCTGTTGATACTAACGGCAGGGTAAAACACTCCGTACAAGTCTCTGAATGCAACGCTTCCTTGAGGTTCTTCATTGACATAGAAAGATAGAGTGTGCTGTTCTAGATCGAGGAGGACGCCTACGGTAGAGCCGATTTGAATGCCTCCTTCGACCCTTTGTTCATGAGCTCCAGCGTGTTGAAACCAAGAACGTTGATTGTCGATGTACATGGCCCAGCCTTTGTCGTCTTTACCTAAAAAATTTACATGTCTTATTGAACTGTAAAACACTAATGTATATTCTTTTATTGAAAGTCGAATCTTTGGAAGATTTACTTTACTAGCAGGTCACAAAGTATATAAGTATATAAATATATAAATATATATATATATATATATATATATATATATATATATATATATATATAAATATATATATATATATATATATATATATATATATATATATATATATATATATATATATATAGAATTTCCAATCCCTTTTATTAAGCGGTATGTGGATGATTTATTATTAGCCCTACCACCTGACAAGGTTCAGGGTACCTTATCCTTTTTCAATGAATTTGATCCTCACTTACAGTTCACTGTTGAACTTGAGGACACTGTCACAAATAGTATCCCCTTTTTAGACATGCGTGTCATCAGAATGGGAGATAACACCCTGACCACAAGTTGGTATAGAAAACCAATGGCCTCCAATAGGTTCCTTAATTACCATTCCTGTCACCCTATGAAATATAAATTGAACCTTATTAAAGCACTTAGTTGCAGATTACATAAATTGACACATCCGATTAATCGAAGGGAATCCCTTAAGTTATTGAGAAATATTCTAATTGAAAATTCATATCCATCCTCCATCATAAATAAATACCTATATTCTCAAAGTTATGGATCCTCTTTTGATGATATACCCAATGGTGACCAACTTAGAACCATTTCTAATAATTCAGTCAATAGCATTGTTCTGCCTAATGCTGATCTTGAGAATCCTACCACCCATTATTCATCTTTGCCTTATTTTCCTCAAGTTACTGAGAAGCTTATTAAACTGTATAAACAGAATAACATACCAGTTAAAATTGCAGTTAAGAATGCTAAGACTGTTAGAAATTTGTTTTCTAAAACTAAAACACCCTTGTCCACTTTGGAACAAGTTAACACTATATACTATTTACCTTGTGCTGAGTGTAACGCTTGTTATATTGGTCAAACTGGAAGATCACTAAAAGGACGTCTTACTTCGCATCGAAGTGACATTAATCTGTCTAAGCACACATGTGCGTTAGCGCAACAAGCAATTAACACCAAACATAAGGTGAATTTCAATGAGGTCAAAATTCTTGGCACTGAGCGCAATCTTGGTAAAAGACAGTTCTTAGAAATGTGTTCTATTCTTAAACATCCTAATGCTTTAAATAAGAGAACAGACATAAGTAACTTGAGTCAAATATATCATGCTTTAATTTTGCAGAATTAGGCTTTACAATCAGTTCATTATGTATGTGTCTCTAAAGTCGTACAATTTAACACATTTGTTTTAATAAATAATTCTAATACTTAACTTACTATAATTAATACTTGATAAAATATAATATTACAATAATGCTAATTAACTTAGACTTACTTATGCAATTCACATTGCATACTTGGTCGTTTTTTTCATACATTGATTAATGTGAATTTCTGGTTTTTTACTTTAATACAAATTAATACAATTCATTCTTTGAATACTTTATAAATTAAAGTTCTAAGCGTGGGACCTTGGACTTTTTGGAAATTAGGTGCTTATCGTCATTCACCTGTAGCTGTATATCCAACTACACTGTTGACGGTTTATCACTCTTTTATATATGAAGTTCAATGAATTTTGCCTACTTGTTTGTTCTAAACTAGTTGATGCAGGGGATTAGCGTTATCGCTAATTTCTTTCGTTGTTTGGTCTCTTACGGGAGGGTTATCATTCAAACTCATGTTAACTTTTTCAAATATACCGCCCGTAAATTAGTGGGTTGGTACTCTTAATCTTGCTGTTCTGTCGAAGAATTTTCGACCTCAAGGTTGGCTGTCTGTTCATGTCATTGGCTTGGTATCTTTTAATTAACGCCATTTCAACCGCAACAGGTGCCAAGCATACAGTGGTAACTTCACTTTATATCTTTTTTTTTATATATATATTTTATATCTCAATGTAGATAACTTAAATAATGCTACCAAAAGTTAAGATGAAGTCATAAAATAAAATTTTTTGCATAGTTGGAAGTGAATCAATGATTTTCTTAGTTCTTTTTCACTATTTAATATTATATAAAATATTATATGCTTATTAGACCACGTGTTCTGTTGCGTTGCTAATTTTTACTAAGTCTCTAAATGTTGTTAGTTATTTAATTGTTTATACAATATCACCATATGATGTCCATTTATTTGAGTTTTTGTACTATCTTTTTAATACCATTGACAACTACATATCTTTTTAAAGGTAACTATTTAACATCTTCTTCATGAATGTGTGGTACTCATAATGTAAAAATTTTTAGATGAACTGATGATGCTATCAGAATTCGATAGCGAAACTTCTTCAAAATAGATGAAGTAGTTATCAACTTTGTCTTTTATTTCTCCACCTAGTAGACCGATATTTGAACCCACCACTCGTCTGAGTGATCCTTATTATATATTGGATAGACGGTCGTACTCCTTTTTGCGATATATATATATATATATATATATATATATATATATATATATATATATATATACATATATATATATATATATATATATATATATATATATATATATATACATATATATATATATATATACATATATATACATATATATATATATATATATATATATATATATATATATATATACATATATATACATATATATATATATATATATATATATATATATATTAATATATATATATATATATATATATATATATATATATATATATATAAGTATATAAATGTAATGACATGTCTTGCAAAACAGACAAACAAAAAACAAAATAGTACATCGATGGAAAGCAACCGTATATACGTAATTCTGACTAATGGTCGTCTTCACGGTGCAGCCACCAACTTATGGCATTAAATTTAAAAAATCCAAGAAGTTGAGTGCTCTAAAGCTAAAGGCTGTTAGCGGTAGCAATAGTATATAAAACGAAGCTCAAGAACATCAGGAAGGGAAAGTAGAAGCAATAAATAGAAGTAAAGAAGTAAGAACTCGAAAGCATAAGAAACAATGGTGAACTGAATACAAAACCGGTCCTTGACGAGGCTTGGGCATTTATTAAGAATGTCTATTCTTAATTATTGTATAAGAATATTTCGTTCGAGTTCCTAGGAAAAAGAAAACGAGTTAAACCATGCACATCATGGAATCAGAACATCAGGAAAGCCATGAATGACAAAAATCTACGAGAATAGGATGCCTCGGAGAGGGGGGGGGGGTTAGAGAAGGATAATGGGAATTCGGAAAGAGCTTTTAATGGTTAATCTGGTGAATTATCAAGTATGTAGTGTATATATAAAGGGTGCGACAGATAAACGGAAAATTAGAAATGTCTCGAGAACTAAAGGTAACTGAATCATGAAAATTAGAATAAAAGAGTTTTGAAGAGTGACCTATTTAATGAAAATGTTTTTATCTATTTACTACTTCCGGTTATACCAGAAGTTGCTTAAAACTTCGTTTTTTAATGGGACATCCTGTATATTTTTTAATTTTAAAAATATTAACGTTATTTTGTTAACATTTTTTGTTAATAGTTCCCTATACCTATTAACCGTTTTTGAGTTATAATGGTTTTTAAATGAAAATTACACTTTTCTACCATGTATACAGGGTGGTCCTAAAGTAATTGTACAAAAAGAAACAGTAGATTCTACACTTTACAATATTACAATTTAAGCCACATTGCATTAATAAAATGTTGATTGAAATGTTGTTAAGAATGATACAGGGTGTTAAAGTGCAAATTTAAAATTTTAGCAATTTTTTGCTATAACTTTCATGTTTGTAAACATTTATGTATAAAAATATACAACTGGGGATTTTTAAATATGTGTAATTATAATTTAATGCATACTTTGATGTAGCTGATAGAGGGCACCGCATATGCCACATATGTGGCATAAATTTGCACTTAACTTTTTTTTCTTGAAGTTACCGGTATTACTATTATTTAATAAAAAATATTAAAGATACACTATTTTAACAAAAAAAGGTATACCTGAACAGAATAATAGTATTTTACTTATAGAAGAAATAGTTAAACTAAATAATATAACTTTTTGTCAAAGTAAGTGTTCGGATATGTTCACCATTTTCTCTCATTAATTTGTCAATATATTTCATATATTTAATAAAAGATCGTCTCATATTAAATAGCATCATTGTTTTTAAGAACCTGCTGCAGTATTTATTTCTTCCCATAGTTGGTTGCGAATGATTATGGGATTCTTATAGACACCTTGTTTTGGTGGTCTTATAGACCACCAAAATCAAGCGGATTAAATTCTGGGCTACGTGGTGGCTGTAATGTATAATGGATGAATATATTCTTGTGGATACATATCCAAATCTTATGGTATATTATGAAACTACATCTTATGAGGTTAAATAATGTATTAAACTGTGATGTATCTCATTTATTGGTTACTTATATACACACGGAATACCCTATCGATAACATTACTTATTTATATGATTGCGTTACAGCTGACAAGTAACTATATTTACATCTAGAACAAATTATGATTGACTAATAAACTAATATTATGCTTAACTAAATTTCCTGTTTGTTTATTATATTTATAACAATATCGGTTATTACGCCAACGAAGATGTTTTTGTAAACATATAGTAGGAGTAGTTAAGGTTAGATTTGTAGCAAAAGTATTATGAAATAAGACACATACATATGTGATTTTCAATACCTGTGCTCTAGTTACTAATTGTCCTGATAAAAATGGGTAAACAATTTACGTAATGAATAATAAGTTTTTTGGGATATTTTATGAATTAAATAATTCTATCAACATCTCACTACATTGCCAAGGAATATGACTACCATGACCAATTAAACGCTCAGAAAACTTGTATTTAAGTATGTTCTCACTGCCTTCTCTCTAGAATGTGGTGGTGTACAATCTTGCATAAACCACATGTTTTTGGGTTTTAAGTATTTTACAATAGAGAAAAAGTAATACAACGCCAGTTCGAAGCGGCGCCCGTATCTTAAATTGCTAGAAGCCCTTTTTTGTTTTCTTTATTGCCCAGTTGTCCAGGATATTTATGTAAGTACCCCTTTGTTTCATTTTTGGTAGTTACCCCAATCCGACCCCTTTGCCATTTACTTATTCACGACCCAGCTCTCCTAACAAACCCTGAGTGCCGTTCGCATAAGTATCGATTATTTTGCTTGCCCTATCTCTACCCCCAGTAGTTCTGTCCCCAATTTTCTACACCCATGATCTTACCCTAAGGTAGGCAGAATATTTTCATTACAATTTCTGTATCGTTTCTAATATCTCTTATCCTGTCCTATCTTTATTTATTTCGTCCGTTGTACCCATTACCGGTTCATAAAGCTAGTTTCGAACCCACGACTCGCTCTCCACCAACCACCTGGCTGCCGTTCGCAATGTCTCCATTGGTGACATTTCTAGCACCATCCAAAAAAGGTTTCCGAGGTTACACTGTATGTGATTCATTATTTTAGAAAAATATGTTTTTAGTTATCGATCTGTATTAGTATTATCTATACCTATCTCTTACAGTTATCAAATAAACTAACTTTATACAATTTTGTAACAAAAAATTTATTTATCCAGTAGCCTATGGAATATTTTAACAAAAATTTAATTATAATTTACGTTGAGTGTAACAGAATAAAACTGTAAAACTGTAAAAAACTATAAAAAGTTTGTTTACCAACTGTTTCCGGTTTGGCCAGTTTATAAATAAAAGGACCCAAGTCGATAATAAAGACTTACAAATAGATATCCTGGGTTATTTTGTAGCTAATCCAAATTCATCCTTACGGTAATGCAAGCAATTGTTACAGGTATCGACTCTAACAACTCACAGGATTTTAAAACACATCGCTGGACCCTTTATTCGTAAACAGTAGATCAACATGTACATTCTGGAGATTATGTATGACGTGTAGAAATTTGTGAATGGGTTTTAATAAAATGCCAAGATCAATATTTTACAAAGAAAAAAATAATTGGTGTGATGTGTGATTTGTATGTTCAATGGTTTTTGTGCTGTGAAAAATAATAAGATAGTCTCTCTTATTATTTATGACGAAAATTTAAACAGAGATCATTACTGCTGCAACATTTTATGGCAAGTAATTGTACCAGCACTGCACGCTTTACATAATAATAAAGCCAACGAGGCTTGTTTTCAACAAGATAGAGCACCGTCACAATATTCGAGGAGTCGGCACATTGCTTGATGGAATATTTAGCGATAGACGGATAGCTAATAGAAAGATCCGTTTCTCTGGTCACCAAGATTCCGCTGTCACATTTAGATAACTATATTTGGAGATTTGTTCAAAATAAGGTGTTCTTTGAACTACTGAGGAAGCTATAATAAATAAAGTCCTTGAAGTTGAATAAAATAGATAAAGAATCAATATAAGAGCTAATAATGAAAATCTGATTATAAGAGTTCATAAATGATTGGATGTTGATAGGTAACATTTTAAACATTTATTACATTAATAAGCTAGTATCTACTTTCTTTAATAGCATATTTTTAATTGTTCATTGTTTAAATTACAATAGAAAGTTGTAAATTAACACAACCTAGTCTACAAAATTTTTTTTGACAAAAATGTATAAAGTTAATTTATTTGAAAACTGCAAAAGATAGGTATACGGAATGGTAATACAGATCGCTAGTGAAAAAAATATTTTTCTAAAATAATGAATCACATACATGGTATCTCATTTGAAAAAGAAATTAGGTGATATATTGTTGTTACAAACCATTATAAATTTTAGATTTTTGTCAATTTAATTTTTCATCAGTTTTCTTATATTTGGATTTTGTAGGTCACACGTAGATCACGTACAAAATTGCATCAGAAAATATATATACAAAAAGTAAAAAAAATAAAATGAAAAAAATTAAGATCTAAATTAAATATTAATGATGATAAGCAATATAAAAAAAGTTCTGAATTTTATTCACTATACTCATGGAAGGATCAATATTGATATTCTAGGTAAAGTGTTCCGTGCGTAGTTATTATTAAAATTTCATATTGAATGCTCTGTAAGATCTCACAGTATGACCCTGAATAAAGCCGTTTCAAAAGTAATTTCTTACCTAACATTTTGTCTCTCGTCACGTCGATTCTCGCTACTCCAAAAGAGGGATCAGTGTCGGTATCATACTTCTCTATAGTGAACTCCCAGTAATGTAGCCCTCTACTAAATCCCAAGCTCCCTAGAGCTACTCGGTGCTCCCAACCTTCTCCTGTCACTCGTGTGTTGTTTTCCGAATACTGCAAACCTGGACCTGACAGGACTGGATCGAATGTAAACCACGCCACTAAAATCAGGGAGTTTTTATTAGTTTTATATGTGTGAAATACTGCAAAATGCGTAATTGATTTGAAAATAAAATAAACTTTAATAGCAGATTTTACGCTGACTTTCTAAGCTTTATCTAGATATTATAAGGATGTATGTACTATGTCAATATTTGACATGACGTACCATGGTATATTAAAAGAGTTTTTTTATTTACTGGTTACAGTAAGTTGTTATACAGAGTTGAGAGTAAAAAAAGTTTACAAAAGTACAAAAAAAACAAATGATAAAAAGACATAACTATAAAAAGCTCATAATTTTAAATATTACTTAAGGAAGAAAAACATAATATTACATATTTTTAATGTTTCTATGGGATTAAACCACAATTGATTGTATTGAAAATGAAATTTTATAATTGCCGTTTGACGTTACCGATATTTTCGAGTTGAAATCGAAACGTCAAAACAAAGAAAAAATGTAATTTTTATTAAAATCAATTGTGGCTTTAACGGAGTTAAGGTTAAAAAAATGCTTGCAATTTACTTTCCTTCTTCCAATAGTTTCACCGTCTATTATTGGCAATTTTGAAATTTAAATTAGCAATTGCATGGGATTGCAAAAATTGATAATGATAACATGATGACAAAAAGACAAGAAATCGTAAAATGAGAATACAAAATTGCTTATTGACAGCTGAAATAGATAGATAAACGAGTTATAAATGGAAAAATAGCAATATCAAAGCCGTAAAACATTAATCGAACAAACTAATTTGATAGTTATTGGTAAAAACCGTTTGGACGCTAATTTCGATAAATTACAATTGAAAACGGAAACAGAAAGTACAATAAATTGTAATCATGTGTATGACCTCCGTCCCGTTAGCGCTCCGTACATACGCACTCCCACCACATTTACTCTTCCATCGACGCGCGAGTTGAAAGGCCTGCGACGATCTAAAACAGCGTAAGCCACAAAGAGAGAACCAAGTTCTGCTAGAGTGATGACCTATAAAGGGAACTCTGCTGGGTCTCTGGATGTTGACTGGAGGCCAACCGTCCGGAGTTTTGTTTGAGTGTTGATCTGATAAGAACTCCACTGGTCCTAGGGTATTGACTGAAGGACAACGACTTCTGCTAGAGTGTTGATCTATAATAGTGGCAGTTCCCTACCCTGTCTTGGAGTATTGATCTAAGATAGATCTGTTCTTTCCCTCTAAGTATTAATTAGTCGTTTGCTGCTCCTCGCCGGACCGAGTATTAATCGGTCCGTCCCATCTATATTCCTCTGACCGGTCGTTCCCCACCTTCGCCGCGTGTGTATTAACACACCGTAATTGCCGTTTAAATTTTATGATATTAATCCTCCTCAGTCCTAATCCCTTTTGGGATGTGGTGACACCATAAGGTCTTCACAGTTTTTTCACAATTTCCCTCCATCCTTCTCTGTCCTGGGCTAATTGTTCGGCTTCATGTAACCCTTGGTTAATCAAAATTTTTGTTTGGTCTAAGCCCAACGGCTTGGAGATCTGGAGATTATGATATTAACTGTATTTTATTTTCGCAGGTATTAAACACTGGGTTGACGAGCTGTGCATACAGGTCGTAGCCGCAGGATTTGCAGTTCATTTTTATTGGTTTGAACATAACTTTATTTTGTTATTTATTTGTTCCAAATATATTTTTATTTTAACTAAAACCTGCATTTTACTGAGTCATAAATTGATTGCCGAGCAAAAATAGAAATGCTTCTTCGTCCAGTAACGACAGACACAGACTCAGTAACGGGTGCCACGACAGGTCGTGGATATACTACCTGTCCAAAGAGGAATTACAGCAGAAAGCTGAAAAGTGCGGCTGAGATTCTGAAAGAACCGTCAAACATTTCGGATAAAGAAAAGGAATTTCTTTTAAAAATAGCAGAGATCTGAAAAAAAACTGTATAAGACTCGAATAGAAACCGAATCCGAAAAAGAATCGAACCCGAATAATACTTGAATAGAAATCGAATCCAAAGAAGAACCGAAAACGAACCTAACCTGAATATCGACCGAATGAGACCCGAATAGGAACCAAATCCAATAGGAACGGCACAGTAGCAGGCCAGTTAACAATTGCGACAACCGTTTGCCGAATAGCGCAAAAATGCTAGTCTGGCTATGTTCAAATAGCTATGTTAGAAACTATAAATAAATGCCTTCAGTATAAACTGTCGCAGATGCAGCCAGCAGGAAGATATGACTATCCGCTACAGAAAAGCTTTTGCACAGTGTCCCAATTGAGTTGGTGGGACCACACACAAGATTTACAAAGTACATCTTTTTGACAGTCATCCAAAAGCAGTTTACGATGTAGGCTATCGTCTAACCGACAAAGGCCATACTATTGATGAGAGCATGCCCTTGTAGGCTCCCCGCTACAAGGGCTTCGGCTAGTACCGAAGATATAATACTTCTACTCGTTGAACGCGTCTACAGCGAGCATCTTCTTCAGACAGCCTCGAAACTTAGATCATAAGCTGCATTTCGTCTTTCTACTATACACCATACTCAAAGGGTAAGTGATTTCTTTGTACAGATATCCTTTTATGAGTCATTCCAAATATTTTCTTTTTGTCAATCCACGACTAATTTTATCCACAATCACATATTGAATATTTTCGATATTATTATAATTATTAAACCAGCGACCTCAATATGTTTGTTTTACACAAACATAACCTCAGAAAAATATATTAAGGTTACTATTTGAAATATATTTTAGTAGTACAATTCTTTTTTTTTGTGTGTGTTTTGGCTTGGACAATTGTCATTCAGCCAGTCTCAATCAAGATAAGTTTATTAATGTAGTGTGTGTGTCTGTGTGTTTGTGTGTGTAGAGTAACTGTCTTGATACTTAGCAAAGTCGACGTCATTGTCTTTGCTAAGAGATGCTAATTGTATCCGAACGTCTGCGGTCCCTCCGGTGATAGTAAAATTCTTGGTTGTATATATTTTTGTTAAAAAAAAACAAAAATGATAACGACCATTTATTTTAGTAACTCAATCAGAAGTTAAAAATTATGTTTCACTTCAACAACTAACCTGATAGTTTTGATTTAATTCATAGTTGTTTATTAGTATGCCTTAAACATACTGTGTTTTATTCTGTGATGCCATCATTTAATCATTTAATTAAGATATTAATAGGTGTTATGTTGAATATGGTGAATATGATATGGATAGGTGAATGAATATAAGTTTTGTGCAAACTATCTCTCAATGTTCTATAAATCAATAGATTTTTAAAATAGTTTTACGTTCAGTAAAACATGTTACATTGCCGGAGACTTCTGTACTTTTATTTCTTTCTAGTAAAGTAGGTTGATATACGTCCAATAGGCATTTAACAAATAATTTTGATTATAAGAGATATACGCAGCTGTGGAGCATACAAGAGTATTATATACATATATATATATATATATATATATATATATATATATATATATATAGTATATATATATATATATATATATATATATATATATATATATATATATATATATATATATAACTAGAGAGGCACTATTCTGTATGCGCGTTCTATTACAAAAAAGTTGTGAATTCCGAAAGAATGTTTATGTTTGTTTCATTGACTTCGAGAAGGCGTTCGACAGAGTCCAACACAATACACTTTTCGACTGCCTACGGGCAGCAGGACTTGACCACTATGATATAAGACTGCTGAAATACTTATATTACAATCAAGTAGCCTCTATCCAAATTGGAGACAGTCCCACTGAAAAAATACCCATCAAACGTGGAGTACGGCAGGGTTGTGTTTTGTCACCCACTCTTTTTAATCTGTACTCTGAAGAAATCTTTAGGGAGGCTTTGGATGACAGACAAGAGGGAGTAAGACTAGGTGGAGAAGTAATCAACAATATTAGATACGCTGACGATACAGCCATTCTTGCAGAAAGTTTACAAGATCTCCAAACATTACTAAATCTAGTCAGTGAAGCAAGTTATCGGAGAGGCCTAAAAATCAACATTTCAAAGACAAAGTGGATGGCAGTTGGAAAGATCCATATAGATCAAGGTCTGCTTTCTCTTAATGGAGAAGAGATAGAAAGGGTAAATCATTTCAAATACCTTGGCAGCTGGTTAAATGTAAATTGTGACTCTGATGAAGAGATAATATCCAGGATCGAAATATCACGTAAGGCTTTTATGACCTGGAAACCAGTTTTATGCAACAGAAACCTGTCAATGAACATTCGTAAGAAGGTCCTGAAATGTTATGTGTGGTCGATCCTATTGTATGGTTGTGAGACATGGACGTTAAAAACCACAATGCTAAACAAGTTAGAAGCATTCGAAATGTGGTGCTATAGACGAATCCTAAAGATATCGTGGGTTTCGTACACTTCCAATGAAGATGTTCTTCAAATGATCAACTCAGAACGTCTGCTCATAAACATCATAAAGAGGAGAAAAACAGAATACTTCGGCCATATAATTAGAGGACCCAAGTACCATTCACTTCGCCTTATAATACAAGGAAAAGTGGAAGGAAAGAGATGGATTGGTCGAAAGAAACTTTCATGGCTGCGTAATATTAGACAATGGTGTGGTTTCACAGTAGAAGAATTATTTCGCGCAGCAGCCGACAGAGAAAGGTTTCAGGAAATTGTAAGCATGATGACGGCCAACGTCTGAATACGGACACGGCACCCAAAGAAGAAGAAGATATATATATATATATATATATATATATATATATATATATATATATATATTGATATATATTCCTATGCCCCAAGATAATTATTTAATTGAACAGGGCCTCATTAAAAAAACAGCAAAAAATAATGGACATGAATCAAAATTAATCCACAACTTAGTTAATAAAAAAACAACCCATTGGTTTCGTGTATCTTAATATAACCAGCCATGATATAATAGTTTGGTTCGTTAACGTTTATCGATCAATCAATCGAGAGGGCTACCAACTTTTTGAAGAAGAAAAATAT